AATGTCTTAGGATTATTTGTGTTTTGTAGAATTTGTATTTTGTCCGAGCTGAAGCAAATAAAAACGTAGATACCTTTTAGTTCTAGGAGTTCTAGGAGTCAAATTATAAATAAAAAATTAATTGGTAGTTCTAAATTCATTAAGTTTTGCATAAAATGAGGTCTTGAAATAGAAAAATTGCATGTTTGATCCTTTCGGTTTTGCAGATTTTCTGTGCGGCTTTGAATCCGTGTGATGGAAAACAGCTTGGACTGCTCATTTTTGTCATAAAAGGAACATTACTTTAGCTTGATTATGTAAAACAGCACTTGTTAAGTAAAGGGAAGTAGTGGAACTTGTCTGTGATGTGTGGAATTATCCTTGGAATATATACTTTATACACCTCGCTCTGTCTTCAATATGCTTTTCGGTGTATAAGTGAAAATATACATGATGTATGCATRGAGTGTAAATGTAAAATATAAAGTTCTGTATGGGAGGAGAGTTTTGTGTGAATGAGTAAATGAGAAACACTGTGAAACACTTTGCAGAAGCTGAGGTTAGAAAGGTGCTGCATAAATGTGGATTATATTATTTGCCACAGCTGAAATTCACTCCTTCATTCGTTAGCATCTTCAGCATCAATCATAATAACACAAAGGAAGGAACGTTTATGTTGGTTTCAGTTAATAACCTTTTTAAAAACTGAACAGTATTTTTTAATAAACTAATACTATGTTGAATTTGGGGTTACGATTAAAAGTGCAATATCTGGGAATATTGTGGATGAGTGATGGAGCAGAAGATGAATGAATTACAGCTTTGTCCAGAGTATTGAAGGTGTTGCTTCAGTCTGTCATTGTGAAAAAGGAGCTGAGCCAAAAGGCAAAGCTTTGTAATTTCTGGTCCTTCATTGCAACCCTCATGTGGTTTATAAAAGCAGAACCAGATCTTCAATACAAGCTGTGAACAAAGTACCGGTACTCAGTTTCTTTATTTGAGTCAAAGTACTGATACTAATTTCAATAAAACTAAAAGTATCCTGATGCATCTTAGTAATCCAGGTAAAAAATCAAAAAGAAAAAAAATTGTGTCGGTCTTCTGGACGGGTTCTTCTC